AATTAGTGATAGATTAAGTGGATTCGGGAGTGAAGGATGAGAATCTGGAGCAGAGAAAGCAAGAACAGGGGAGAAAAAAATTCCTTTTTCATCTAAGTGAGAAACAGAGTACGTTGGATGGTGGTCTTTTTTATCATTATAATATTAATAATACAATATTCATTTAGGTTATTTCTCCCGTGAAGATAAGGTAGGGTCATTGGAAATAAATTCTACCGAAAAATTAAAATAAATATTGCCATGGAATTAGTAGCGTTGTAAACATAATATGGAACTTTCTTTTACCTTAATATTGCAATTGCAATAATATTGTTCATATTTTAGCTAACATTTTGAGAAAAATATTAAATTATTAATTATAATGACGCTCTGTACGCGCTCTCAATATTATATTTTCGAAAAACTAACGCTCTCACGCTCTCGCTCCCGCTCCCGCTCCCGCTCTCGCTCCACGCTCTGGTTACCTAAATCTCACACCCCTACTTCAAAAGATGTGTAGACACTTTGGAGTAATCCAGCTTGTTAGACCGTGGGTTTGATGGCTACCAATATTCGAACAAAACAAGTTTCTCTGTTATGAGAATTTAGAGCAACAAAGTTGTAGTCGAGGTGTTTAAGAAGTCGGAATCATCTAATTACTCTTTGTTAGGGGTTTTAATTACATGTAGTCTACATACTTGTTGATGAGGTTCAACCCATGAGTTAATTGAACTTTTGGATCTTTTTTTCTCCAAAAACTCTCATCTAATATTTAGACCTCAAATTACCGAGATATTTTCTCATTGTATAATTCTTTCAACCAACACATAATCTCAATTTTACTTCATTAGCAGAATAAGAGGACCTTTGTTAAGTTAAACTATAAGATCGCTTAAATCAAATATATAACATTCATACTGAACTAAGTATCATAAGATAATTATTTGAGAAAATACAAAAAAGAAAAAACAAATACACTCGATTAGGGATGACAACAGATTCGGATGGGGCATGTTTTCTTATATACTATCCTCGAATCATGGTTTAAAATCGTAACAATCCCCGTGACCAAAATTGTGTTGGTATGTAAGATATCATACCAAAACCAACCAGTATGTGGGTCGGGAAAATCCCACCAACACTATCCCCCAACAATCATGTATAAAACTTTTAAATAATCAAAAACATTCTTCGAATGTCAATGTAAAATGAAGTTTTATGTCATTTATCTGTAAAAAGGAAAGAAAATGAACAAGATTTCAGGCCTACAAGATCATTATAATGTTTTAAGGATATGGATGAACAAAATGTTAAAGTGACCGAGTCCAGAACATAATTATAACACATATTCGTGTGGGTTCAGTGCGAATTCTTAAAGTACCAAAATCACATCAAATTCATTACCTTCTTTGCGGGTTTCGAAAAAAACTCACCCAAAAATAGTATTGGTTGGATCTTCCCCACAATATCAATTCGAATTTAATTCCCACAACAATGGGCTATTTTGCGATCCTAGTTCCTACACTCAATGTAACACCTCAGGCGAATCTCACATCGACAAAAGCACGGGAGAGATTGACACGCTATGACACAACTCCTAACAATAGCCAAGTGTAACCAATGAAAGGGACTGCAGTATAGTGGTGCAAGTAATAAATATCGAATCATCGGGTCTCTAGATGTACTATTACTCAGCGTCAGTTCATTATCTAGAAAATCAGATTAAGGATTCATTAACTAAACTACTCTACTAACTAAACTAAGTAAAACTACTAATTACAGGTTGGGAACTCACTTAGGTATGATTCCCCCTAGTCTGCAGTTAGGCCAAGTTGTAATTCACCCAATCCAATTCAGTTGACAGATATACCGCGGAAAGTTCTTAACTGGTCTGGACTCTCGACTAAAGTTATCCAGACCCTCTCGGTTCGAATACCCAGTGGGTGACTAACCTCCATCAGCGTAAGCTAACCAAGGTAAAAACACACAAAACTTCCTCTACTGGATTTGATTCCATTACAGAGCAGTGAATCGATTTCTCGACTAAAGCAATCGATCCACTACTTCCAATTGAGGTTGCTCTATTAACCTATGGAGAGACTATTGTTCTAGGTTAAAGTAGAAATCACAAAAGTTTGATCAGGACTCAAGTAGTTCTGAATAATGACTCAACTTAATATAAAACGTCAATCAATCATGAATTTAAGCTCATACAACTCTTCATAGCAATCAAATCTATGGTTCCTCAAAACCTAAGTAAAGAGAAGTTACTCCATAGAGAAGAGAGAGAATGCAGAAATCTGATCTAGATCTTCAATCTCCATCTCCAAGCTTGATTCCTGAGTTCCAATGGTGAAGAAACCCACCAAAATAGCTCCAAGAATGATCCCAAGGTGCTCTCTCTCTAGGGTTCATCCCTTGGGTGTTTGGGATCCAAAACCCAGCTCCCCCCCCCCCCTTCAGAATCCGCAAAAACGCATTTATACAGCTCAAAGAAGCCAAGTTATTCCCCAAGTTACGGCCATAACCTTTGGGGTTCAGGCCATAACTTCTGGAATGTATTATGCCTCCCGTAGCCTCGAGTTACGGCCAAAATGGCAAAGTTACAGTCTGAACAGTAACTTTGAAGGCCAGCCCATAACTCTGGAGAGGCTGCTGTCTTTCAGACATTTCTCCCTCAGTCGAACTCGGAATCCGTCGTTGTTTGATCCCAGACGCTCGTAGTCTCGTCCTTTTTCTTTCCATGCCTAGATTACATGATTCTTTTTCCATTAAACGAGGTAGAAATCCATTCTTCCTTAGGTCATACCCGAGTTTCTTCCCCCGAGTTGCCAATTGATCTCCGATTGACTTGAAACTTGCACCTATACTTCACTTTACATGCTAGGACTTGAAATGTAACAAAGGAACACAACCTAGTGTAAAATAGGCCAAAGTATGATAAACACCAAGCTAAACAATCAAGAAATGAGGGGTAAAAACATGTGCAATTTCAGTGTTATCAGGGATCCATGGCTCATATGTAAGAAAACGACCTTAACAAACAAGACACGTTTTGCAGTGAAATGGAGGAGTTCTTATGAGAAATCTGAAGTTAAACGTGCTTAGTGTGGAGCACTGCAAGAATGAGTGACCTTATGGGAAGTCACATTGAATTGCACCTCAAGACAAAACCATGAGGGTCGAGAGTCGAGACCTAAAGCATACAATATCTTGGTGGGGAAAAGGTTCAGGATGTTTCAAGTGATATCAGAGCCTCTCTGCGTCCCTCTTGAACGATGATGGGGCAAACCTCAATGAGGATGTTAAGTCCTAAATGAGTGGGAGAGAGGGGGGAGGGGTTGTATGTAACATTTTAGGCGAATCTCACATTATCTTTTCAGGGGTTTTGTGGACTAGACCATCTTGCTGGGCTTCGAGTAAACAAGGCCCCAAGCAAATTTAAGGCTCCTAATCTTGTATGGGAGACTTCAACCTAGGATTGCCATTTCGGTTTTGATTTTATAACATGTTTTTATTATGTTTTAGTTTTGGTTTCAAATCATTGTGTACTTATCAGTTTTGATTTGGTTAAAATCGATAAGAAACCAAAATCACAATTCACAATGCTAATACAAAAATAGGGGTGTTCAAATTGGTTACCTTAGTAACCATATTAACCGGTAGCATTCGGTTAATTTGGTTTGGTTAATTTGGATAATTGGTTTGGTTTGGTTAAACAATTTAGCTTATTTGGTTTAGGTGGTTTGGTTTGGTTTAAACACTTCTAACCAATGAAACCAATTAACAAATTAATGATACACGTAATATACAAAATTATTTATACTTCCATGCAACCAGCCAAACCAAACTTTCGTGATTTCCTATTTTATTTCCATGTGCACAACAAACCAAAACATTATGAGTCAAAAATTAAATGGTTCTGCCTATTTACTAAACCAAAACATTTTGGACAGCTACTGGACTTTAGATTACGTACAGTACCATGACAACCGCCTCAAACTATGTATAATTTAAGTGTTTTGTAGGAAAGCTTTAACTTCATGATGAGTGGTATTGGTATGTATTTAATATTTATGTTAAGAGTTTATTGTAAGCTAACTATATTAGGTGCAGAGATGATGACTGATGTATTAACTCGAATGATGATGATAACCATGGATGGTTAGTCTTATTATTATTGCTTATATATAATGATAACAATAACATATGGTTATGTTTTATTCATTAACAGGATAATTGTTTTCATGTAATATTTTGTTATTTGGTTAATCCGATTAACCAAACATATTAAACTTTGGTTTGGCTAATTTGATTTTTGTGTTAATTTGGACGATTTGGTTAAGACATTTGATTTCATGGTTAATGAAATTTAGACTTAATTAGTTTGGTTATTACCACGGTAACCATTTGAACACCCCTAACACAAACACCCATTATCTAGTCCATTAGGTTTGAGGTCCTTAAAATCAAACCAAACCAAACTATTAACTTTAACAGTTATCAAACTATTAAGGGATTAGCAGTTTCAATTAATCGAAACTACTAAGCCCCTCAATGGTTCGATTCGGTTTTAAGTCCGAAATCCAAAATGGACAATATGTTAGTCATGAAGATGTTTCACTTTAGGTAACAAGAGCGTGGAGCGGGAGCGGGAGCGTGAGAGAGTCAATTTTATAAGAATTCAATCTTAAGAGCGTGAACAGAGCGTCAATATTATATTATTTTAATAAATAATTTATTATTTTCCCGACAATATGAACAATATTATCAGTGTTATTTGCAAAAATAAATAATTACAATTAACTCGTACAATTAGAGTTTGTGATTTGTGTATATACTAAGTAAAAAATGTGTTTCCTGGTCTGTTTACCTCACAAACAGTTTGATTACATCATTATTTATGCCCAATTCACATGAAATTATATGAATATGTTATTATATCTGTTATATTTATTATAATGATAAAAACAAATAAACTAAAGTTTCACCCACCTACAAAAGATTATCAATAAAAGAATGCAACGTTTCTCATTAAAAAAAAAAATCTCTCTCTTTCACACACAAAAAAAAAAACTCTCTCTCTTCTTCCTTTTTTTCATCGAGATCTGGTAAATCCTTCCCGGCATTCATAAATCACAATCACCGGTCAAGACAGCAAAGACCATTATAACAGCTGATGTGAAACGAAGGAAAAAACAAAAAAAGAAGAAGTCTTTTAATATTCAAAGACAAATTCCTGAAGCTCACGATTGAAAGGGAAACAAAAGCTTTTGCCTTGTAGCTCCTTCACCAAAGGCCGCTGCGGAGACGGAGAATGCAGTCTGCTCCCGTTACAGGTAAATATCGAATTATTTCATCATCAGATCTTACACAAATTTGAAACCATTCGATTTTCAGGTTGTCTGAACAAGAGAGAGGATGGTTTGATGTAAATTAGAGGCCTTTAATTCCTTTCGTGAGTTGGATTCGTGTAAATTGTTGATGAAATCGCTGATTCTAGCAAGAGTTGCTATTGTGGGTCTTAAATGGGCGCTTTCTGGGGAGGGGATTGCTTGTTAACAAATGCTGGGAAATCGTTGGGGTTGTTGTGTTAATCCTCTGTTGAGAAATATATTTGATGTAGAAGTTGCAGAGGATAGCTCGTAGAAAGGTTCAATCTTGTTTTTTTTTTTTTTTCCTTTTTCGGAATGCAATTGTGAATGTAGGGTTCATAAAGGAGAGGCAATTATTATACAAGACATATTTGTGATATGGGGGGATCATGAACAGGTTGGGTTTTGATTACTTGTTCTAAGGATTTGGGCTGTTTCAGGTATTGGAAAGTAACTCGACTGGGAGAAAGTTTGGGGCTTTAGATTAGACGAACCATGGCAGCGACGACGGAAGTGGATCCACCGTTAACAGATGTAGAGCTCGTGCCGGAGAAAGAGACGATCGAAGATGTAAAAGAGGCACCACCCGCATTCCCATGCCAGCTATCCGACATTGAGTTGGTTTACAAGATAGCTCAATCCTTTCTGCCAGGACTAGCAACAGCTTGTGTCGACAATACGACGGGTGGCATATTTAGAACCCCTGGTTCAGTTGCTGCCGAGCTCAGGAAAGAGATGATCGACTATCTCACTCAGAGAAGCGAAACTTTTGTTGCTGAATCTGTCATTCTAGAAGGAGAACCTCAGCCCGAGTCCCCCGGCAATCCATTCGACATCATCTCTGACTTTGTTGATGATTTTGCAAGCTCAAAGAGGAATTTCTTCAGCAGGGTTTCTGGGTGGCTGCTTAGTGAGAAGAGAGAAGACAAGATTGATGATTTTGTGCAGGAGATGGAGCTGAATGGATTTTGGCCCATAGATAAGAGATCGACAGTAGCAGAAAATCTGCTCAAGAATGTTGACTTGAAGAACAGGTTTCACTGCGACCACAAGTTTAATGCCGAAGAAGAACTGGCCGAACATAGCAAAGCATGTGGGTTTAGGACTTTGAACTGTGAAAACGAAGGGTGTGATGATGTATTCTGTGCGAGCAATAAGGAAGACCATGATGCAATTTGTCCTTTCAAGATAATTCCTTGCGAACAGAACTGTTCGGAGTATATTATGAGACGTGACATGGACAGGCATTGCATAACTGTCTGTCCTATGAAGCTCGTAGCTTGTCCTTTCTATGCTGTGGGGTGTCAGGCAAATGTGCCTAGCAGCAAGATTGATCAGCATCGTGCCGATGAAGTGAAGGCTCACGTGCTCTGTGTTCTTCAGAGTATTCACAAGGAAGCTTCTGTGGAGGATCTAAACCCTCGTGTGGACCAAGTGCTCGAGGTTGGTAACTTGTCATATCTGTCATCTTGAAAAGAATGAATCAGATTTGTGAATAAAGTTAAAGGTCCTGCATTATGCTTATATTAGATATATTTATTACCCTTTACACCTAGGTTTCTTAGATCTTCTGCCATTTTTATCATCTGAAGTTGTTTTTAGATGCCTCTTTCTGGAACTTCCTGTATTGAACTGCACAAGAAGCTCACCATCCAATCAAGCGCATGGAAAATACCTATACCTGTAGCAAATACAGTTACTTGGTCATTCCTAACCAAAACGAGAAACTTGTTCGATATTTGATGCAGTTATCTTCGGGGCTAGCAGAAGCCAGAGATGTGAGGTCTATGACTCGCAGAATCAAGAACATTGAAGCAAAACTGGGACCTTTGGAGATCAAACCTCGAAAGGAAGGTGAAGAAGCATCTGCAGAGAATGGAGAAAAGGCTGCTGAAGACCCTACTGCGGATACAACAAACAAAGCTAGTGAACAAGTGGCTGCTGCAGCAACAGACAATAATGTGAGTAAAGATTCCAATGAAGCTGCCACAGTCATGGTCAGTGAAGAAACAACAAGCAGAGCTGTCGAGAATGTAAGCACGGAATCAAATAAGAGTGCAGACAAGGTTAACGAAGAGCCTACTGAGGCTTCCAAAAAGCCTGGTGACAATGAGGAATCAACCGAGCCTTCTGGACAAAAGGTGAATGAAGCTGAAGCTGCTGAAAAGATCATTGATGAGCCACCTAAGGCTTCAACCGACCTGGGCAAGGAATCAACTGAATCAGTTGAGTCTACAAAGAATGTAATTGCAGTCGCTGACTCAGTAGAACCAGCAGACCAGGTCAGTGAGGAATCAACTCAAGTGATTCACAACCTTAACAAGGAACCAGTTGATGCTTCATATAACCCTGGTAAGGAATCAACTGATGCTGCAAACAAGCTTGGTGAAGAACAGGTGGAAGTTATGAACAGTGTTCCCGCGAGCCAGGAAAGTATGGAATCTGACGAGACCACGAAAATTGTGAGCAAGGAACTACCTGAGGTTATGGAACCATCAACTGAAACCACTCCGAACGTTGATGTATCCAGGGACTCCATTGGCGTTGAGGTTGGCGAAGAACCCACTTCGACAGCTGCTGATGATGTTGCCAACGAATCAAATGAGGGTGCAAAGAACAAAGCCACAGAAGAACCCACTTCAACAGTGGGTGACGCCGACACGAAATCTGGTGATGCTGCAAAGTCGAAGAGTGAAGAGCCCACCACAACAGTTTAAAACCTGTCGCCAAATGAATTGCTTACTAAAGAAATTTCTAACATCTAATTCTTTTTTATGCATCAAAAGTTTCCAGACATTCCCCCCTCCCAGCTGAGGTATATCTATGTATCTCATGCTAGTGTCGTGGAGCAATGATTTCTACGTTCATATAGAGCAACGATCTGCTTTTCCGACCTCAGTTTGTCGGAGATTTCCTTGAGAATTGCAGCTCAGAGACTCGCATATTGGGCTCCTTATGTGTGGTCGATCCCGGTTTCTCCAGCTTGTTTTGTTGGATACGTGACCTGGGCGTGCTGCAGCTATTATCAACAGCTTAGTTTTAGTGATGATGACAAAGTGGCAGTCCTTCCATCTACGAACAATGTCGTTGACAGTAATTCTAACTAAGCTCAAGGAAAATGAAATTCATCTGTTTATCGTCATAGCAACAATGATTGTACTGAATAAGTGCGACGATGATGATACTTGATCGTCCTAACTGTTATCCTTGTACTTTTTTGTTTGATTTGGAGATGGAGACCACATTCTTGTACTATGTATCCCTTAAGTTTTCTATTTAAAATGTATGGTCCTAATTCCTAACCTCCTACTCTCTACAATGTAATGTAGGACTGGAAAAGCCAAAATGAGGTCGGCATGCTTGGTTTCTGGTCCGCCCTGCATACCTGATATTGGTGTCACGGCAACAACAGTCGAGCTGCAGCTCGAACCTCTTGTCTTGCGCTCCAAGCAATGAAAATACAGAGCATCTGTACATATACGTATTTAGTATCATAGAAGACATGTTATCTAGTGGAGGACAAAAGGGGTGACAAAGGTCTAAGCAACTGATGACGAAAGCAAATGACAATTTTAAGCTCAACAACTGAACATTTTCCCCGACAAGAACAAAGCAGCCGGGGTAGATTCAGGAAACAGAGTAGGGATAACAAAAGCATAAGAAGCACAAACTAACTAAAAGCTGCAACCCCCCTTTCTCTACTAATCCATTGTCATCAGCGACGAATCAAAGCTTCCTGGCCAGCTAGTTACAATTCTGAGCAAGACTACAATGCGTAGATAACATGGTAGCAGGCTGGCGAAATGCTTGACATTTCTATTACAAAGCAAGGCGAATGATTCCAAGAGAGAAGGAAAGCATATCGCCGACATTACATTCCGAGCTGCTCTTCCTCGTTCATCTTACGTTCTGTCCTGTATGATCAAAGCACAAAGTTTATGTAAGAATCTTCAGCCAACTACTAACAATAGTTTTGAAACACAATGGACAGTGTCAGGAGTGGTACCTGAAAGCTGAAGCTTTCATATGACCAATCACATGCACTTGTCCCCATGGTTCTGTAAAGTCTAATGAAGCTTTTGATATATTGAATTGGGAAGGCAAGTTTAACTAGCATGCAAAAGGAACGCCTCAAGAACTTAACACATATAAGTGAACTCTTTCTTGAGAGCCATTAACCAGCAACCTGACAAGAGAGCGGTGAGATTTAGGTACCCAAAAAAAGCTACTTTCTAACCAGAATAGAACAGGAGCAGTAGACTCAAGAACCACATTTGGCAACAAAATACTCGGCATCAAGAATAAAAGGGAAGTGAGTGATTCCAAGAACGAACCAAAGCATTTTGTTAGACATGCTGAAAGCTGCTCTTCATCCTTGTTCCAAATGTTCTATCATGGTTGATCAAAATGTAGGCCATGTAAATTCTGCAGCCAACTGCTAACAATATATGTCAAGAGCAATTTGACAGATTTGACATGCACAGAAGTAAATGCAGCAAGATTTTGATACATTCAATGGGGAAGCTAATTGATGAAATGAAAAGGAAGACAGGAACTGCGAAACAAAAGTGCTGATCCCTTTCATTCAAGTCTTACCTTCCCTGGACATGAAGGAGAAACATTAGTAAATACCATGAACTAATGTATCCTGGGAAGGATCAACTGTGAAACAAATACCAGAAATGCTCTCACCCTGTAGATGAACTAATGTATCATAGGAAGGATCAACTACGAAACAAATACCAGAAATGCTTTCACCCTGTAGATTCCTCAGACGGATTACTTGAAATATCATTCCTGAGATCCTCAACTATGCCTTGAGGGTCACTTGTTATCAGTTTCCCACAGATACCAATAGATTGTAACTGTACTTATCTGTTGAGCAACAATACAGAGAATGAAATGGTAAGAGAAAAGGAACATATAATTCTTTGGAAGGGCTTCCATGAATGTATTGATTGGAAGTTGACTTTAAGAGAATAGAAAAGAGAGTTAGCAATTGATCGCTTGAAAAATCAGGATGATACTGTTAAAGACTTTCTGGGGGGAAGACAGTCATTGTCATGCTTCTCACCACTAAAACAATCCTAAAAGACTATACATGCATCAAAATCAAGTCAGTAAAAGGTAATCTAGCAGCTATGGTAGTCCCTGGACAATAAGGTCTGGTGTGATCCTTCACCCGTTCAAGCAAAATGCTGATCAATGACAACTCTTGAGCCAAGCAGTTTTGTACATGCAAAATCCTTATAGTCCATGAGCAAGAGAGCTACAACCGATGTTTGACCTCCTCGGCGTTCCCTGTTGCAGCATTCAGAGGGCTTTTGTAAGGACGCTGAGAGCCAAAATTAATCGATCCTCAATATTGCAGTTGAGACTCATAAGGCCACAAAAAGGCATCCCATTTCTCAGCACCTTGAAAGTCTCTCCATCATACAGTCTTCATGAAGGCACTGGTCTGGAATTTAGATCGATGAATTCTGCCACCACCAACACCCTTTGCAGTTGAATTGATGCAGCAAATGAGTCACCCTGGCTGACCAAACCTCTGAAGTACCGACCATCGCCAAAGGGTGTCATAGTTTATCAGCTGGCTTTGTTTCCATTTGCCTCTCCATCAATTTATCAACAAAAGCTCGAATCTGAATATGCATAAACAATGATGGATTTATAATTTCCTTCAAACGCAAGTAGTGTCAAAATTTATGACAAGTTTCTGTTGGAAATCAAACCAAAACTATAGCAATGGAATCAGAGACAAGGTATCAGTTCAATTATTAGAATCCATCAAGTGAGCCAGCAGTCATTATTATAGGATTCATAGAAGATCAAAACCAATGCAGCAGAAGGGCAGACCTACTTTGTTGATAAAGTTACACCAACATCTTTAATCTAAAAAAAACATAAAGTAGGAGTACACACACCTTATTCTTGCGCTTGGAATCAAGAAACTCGGACACAGACATCGCTTTCTCCGCATCAGTAGCCCGCTCCATGACCTGATCATCAATCAATAATTGCAACATGAAACAACAAAATCAACTTTTACGGTCCTTTGTAGAAGCGATGACAGAAACATAAGGGGGAAAAGGCCCACCTTGGTAGCACACTTTTTCATTATTGTCTTGTACCCATCCCTATCAATCTTCCGTGCCTTATACACAGGCATGAGTACTGATGCAACAAAATCCACAACAGCTTGTTTGATACGGTCTGCACCTCGAGAATGGCTCTTTAATGTCTCTTTGTTTACGGTAACTTGTGAGATGGAGCTCTCATTTGCACGTCTATCATTTGTGCAGGCTGGAGGTCTTGAACTTGTATTAGAGTCCTCTTCATCAATTACATGCATATCTGAATGGTTCAATTCCGAATCAGCGGCAGCTGCTTGACATTGCCATCTCTCGATGGCTTGATAACCCTTGATAGCCCCAACATCAGCAGTATCAACCCATGCTTTCGTATAAAGACTGCTGTCATTGGCTACACTTTCTCCAGACTGCTCTCTCAAGTTCATACGGGATGCTATCTCATTGGAATGGCTTCGCTGAGACAGGTTATCAATTGACATTCTGGAATTGTTGAAGTTAGCGGAGAAATCAACTGACCAGTCCCTAACTCTGCAATTCCTAGAGTCGATTTCAGATGTACAATCTTGGCCTCCCATGACGCCACCAGACCATTTTTTCCTGGGATCGAATTCATCCATTTGCGGGTATTGTTCCCGCCTAGCAAACTTATGAAATGAGGGTATCTTAGGAAGCTGCATCATCGTGTTGCACTTGGCATAAGCCTGCAACATCCTTATTGAACTAAGTTAACTGGTTCAACCACAAAATCAAAGAAAGAAAGAAAGAAAGAAAGTAGAGGAGAAGAGAAGAGAAGCAACAATGGAAGGTGCAGGAGGCAAAGTATCTCAATCATGCACAGTTACTTTCATCTAGACTAACATCTCAGTATTATAACCTTACTTATCATACTTTGATCCTCATTTTTATACCACAGTGGATCCCAAACTTAATCCAAAGTAAAACAAGGTGCATATTCAAATCTTATGTCTAGCCTACTAAAACGACCAGCCAAATGTCTGCCTCTAACAGGAGATACATGCCCATGAATCATGATACTATTTCAAATTCATGTGTCACAATAATAAGAGAGTTCAACAATGATGGACTAGCTTGTAGCACACTCGCACACGGAGACAGAGAGAGACGAACAGTTAATCATCCCAAAAACAAAGGGCAAGAGAAGGCAGTTATATTGCAGAATAACAGTGCATAAATTATAGCAAGGGTAGCAAGAAGGAACAAACCTCAGCAGCTGCACGAGCTGCAGCTTGTGCTGCCTCAGCAGCAGCAAATGCTGCCTTTTCTTCCTCAGACATGGCAACTTTACTTTGCTCTTTCATCTCAGTCCCCACTATGCTAACAGAATCTTGGGACCTCGATTCAAATCCCAACTCTTTATTTCCCTGATTAACCAACTCACCATTCACATTCTTCAGACATGGACTGGCAGTGGGTGCAGGAAAGTGCAAGCTCCCTCTATTTTCCAAAGCACTTTGATGACTACGGAGAGGTGGCTTCCCCGAAAGCATATTAAATACAGATTTTCTCTTTGAAGAATCAAGTACTGAAGCTTGCCTAGATAACTTCAAACGATTTGAAGCTTTCTGCCTCCGGAACACTTCAAGCCAGACGCTTACTAGCTGACTTGCTATAGCACGTATATCACGGCTGGTATGTACGCATACTTTTTCTCTCACCGTCTTCCCTATGCCTGCACAATAAAGGGAGACAAATCACATATGATAGATATCACTGAGTTCTAGTTTTATCCTAAGCTAGAATGTGAACTAGTTGGCTTTCCATTTGTTAGAGTACATCCCAGCTGAACTGAATCTTAGAGCATACTAAGCATATATCTATAACAGGAAAGGATGAAAGGAACAGACCAGATATTTGTAAGGAACTCGATAATAATGTACCTGACAAACGCACTGCAAGTAAATCTGTTGATACAAGCACAAGAATTCGAACACAATGGCGTAAAAGTTGAGTACCATCCTTCCCCATAGAGTCCTGTGCAAAAATAGAAGACAATAACAAGACGACCAACAAAAAAGGCGTTTTCAGGTGGAGCTAGTAAATAATGTGACTAGTTAGAAATTCAGTAGAAGAGTATACTCGGAAGAAAATGTACCAGTATCCATGAGTTGAGAGTGGATAACCCTTTTTTGGTACCAGCAAAGGACTTCAAGGTTTCAGTAGGAAGACTCAACAACTTCTT